TCTATTCATGATGAAATGTCAAAGCATACTGAGCATCTTTCTCTTTGACACCATGTCTGAAATCCCACGTGATCTGTCAAATACTAATGCATGAAAATCCTAACCTCAAAAAAATCACCCGTTAGTACATACTTCAATATCGGTAACCACCAAAACGAGAGCTATGTACATATATTTGTATGTATGTATGTATGATTAAAGTACATTAACGAAATGAATTAAAATAAAATAACGAATAGTCCACAAATAAATGTCTGTAAAACCAGTAAAAGAGGCTCTGGGCAACAGCTACTTCAATCTATCAAAATCAGCGAAATAAAATAAACTACATGGAAAAAGAGTAGGTACAAAGAGTCTCAACATTTCCATTCAAACGCAAATGCCATTGACACTGAAGCAGCAGCCCAGTGTCTCGAAGCGGAGCGGCAGCCGGAGGCAAATCCAATGCGACTCGAAGCTGATTTCATTTGTGTGAACAAATATATATATATATACATATAGAGGAACGCACATGTTGGCAGCGAGACGCAAGCAGCAATGACTCTTTAATTAAAAGATACATTCGTCAGATACGATTTAGAATATTTACTGTGAAAAAGCGCTGTCGTTGGGACAGCGATGTTTCGAATCCGGAATGAGGCTTTCTACCGGTCAAAGCCACTTATTGAATACGTACATACATATTTTGATTTCACAAAAATAACTCTTTAGAGCGATTTGTATTCGAATGGCAAGCGATCGCTTGTACTTTTGGTAGATGCACTAATCCATGGTGTTTTATGCTCTTTAGCATTACTTTAGGTATCGTTTAAATAATTGCCAGGGCATTTACGTGAACTACATTTTAACCTAAATGAAATAATTCAAATGCAAAGCGCGCGTACCTGGATTTTTGTAGGTTACCTTGAGCCATTCTTCACTCACAAAATCGAAGCTTAAAACACGTTCTTTGAACTGGCTTCTTATTCAAACGCATATTTAATTACCAGCCACAAATTCGATAATGAAGGTGATAGTTTCCACCAACGCTGGCGAGGAATGATTCAAATTTTTTGTAGATTCTCTTACTTCCATCTACGTACGTATGTATGTAGGCACATACGATGATAGGCAAGAACGCGTTAAAAAACACTTTAAAACAAGGTAACAGTGCGGCACAGCAGAAATTGAGAACAGATTTCAGATAGCCAAAGAAGACCAACAGGTAAGCGCGGCTTAAAAACCCATAGCCAAGTTAGTGAGCCAATAGATATTTGGTACCTACAGATTCCTCACGGGAAGCATCAACACTGGAGCCTCATCAAACAAAAGAAGTTCAATAATCGACGCACTCGCTCGCACACAGATATGTTGAAGGCGCCTCCAGCCAACGCGATCCTACAAATTTACCATCGTCCCATTGCATTCGCACACCAGACAATCTATGCAATTGCGCCAAAAAGAAAAGGCCAAAATCCAAAGACGTCAACTGCGGGACGGAAGAGAAGCCACCATCATCAGCACACACATCAGCAATCATTCATACAAGATTTTTTTCTTTTGCAAATTGTTTCACACTTTTAAAAAATTCAAGCGCATTTTTTATGGATATTTCATGTACAATTACTTTTTATAACATAAAGAAAAGGGTTATAGACAACTGGTGAAATATGCGAAAACTCTATTGATTGGCAAGTACTCACTCTTTGTAGCTTTTCCAGTTTTCCCTCAGTCACCGGTTGATGATCTCACACACTTTCTACTCGCTTCGCAATCTTTCTGCACGCCTGCATACACTTCGTTTTAGACAAGTTTTGTTCAGAAAATATACTAAATTTAGTTGAGACAGGTTTTAAACGGCCAACTCTGGCTTTAATCACAAATTTGACAACACAGCAAACTATCGCTTTTGGAAGCACCAAGAAAACTGAGGGAGACATTTTTCGCACGAGTTTTTTTCAGGGTGTGCGAGATACACATTTTGTGATGCTGTCTAAAAAGGTAGTAGACGAATGAGCAAAATAGTATCAGATGCTACAACTGTCAACAAGTGCTTGTCAAATTACGGCTAAAGGCACTGCAATGGAATACAGCTGATCAATAGATACATACATATAAGGGAATTTGAACTTCTCTTGCTTAGAAATAATATGCCACAAACGATAGAATTGTAAAAAAAAAAAATAGTTTATTGCAATACTTTTTGTTGTGTGAAAAGTTTCTGTATCAAACTACTATGGTAGAAGTAATTTTATTATATCCAAACATTTGTATTAAATTGTATAATAGTCATAAAGTTCTGGGAAGTGTTTAACTGTATTTACTTACACATATTCACCCGTCATGACTCATGTGCTCAAGCAATTTGAACTTTTCCGGATTCATTTGTCGTTGCTTGGCAAAAACCGGTTTGTAAACAATTTAAAAGCAAACGCCCAAGAAGGTAGTACAGAAATGAGCTGAGCGACACGTAAACACTGGCACGCGGCAGGTATCAAAAACCGGCTGGTACGTCCGTTGAGTTCGAAAGCTGTTTGCCAAAACGAGATGACACTACATGCCTTATGCCTTAGTGTTATGGTTGGTTTGCTTACGCTTGTAAGGTATATACTAGGGAGATGCCACACCGGTTTAGAAAGTAAATTTTAAAAACGAAATGGAAAATGGTACGGACAAACAAAGTAAAGGGTATTCACACCAGTGATGGAAAAGTAGATACAAATTTATAGCCTTAAAAATAAAGTAGCTTTTCAAAGGGTTTATAAATTGAAAAGTGTATGAAAAGAAAATGTATAAAGCTTCTTAGGCTACTTTATTTTTTATGAATAAGGCCATTAATTTTTCTCAGCCCATTCTTGACTAGTTATTCAATTAATATTTCAATCTTGTTAATTGTTTAAAAAGGTAATTGCAATTAAATAAATAGCATTTGAAATTTTAATTGCGCATTTCAATTACATTTACTGTAATTAAACTTAATTATGTATTACAATAACCTTAACCACTGGAAAAGTGTCCCATAATAACTGTTACTATTTAAGAGAAAAAAATAACCCACAAAAGAGAATAGGTGATCAATTTTTTGAAGATGTGAGCTCTCGCTCAGTGGGAGAGGGTTATTTGCTGACAATTTCCGCTGCTGTTGGTCTCGGACCAGTGTTGCCGCGCCGTCCCAAGAAAATGTATCACCGACCAAGCCAAAAATGTATCCAAATGTATCCATTTTTCTTTTTTTACGTATCCATCTCATAATTTGTAAGAAAACCAAACATTTTCAAGAAAAAGACATAATTTGGAATACGTGTATATATATTTTTATATTTCATAAAATCAAACATTTGTTATTTCAATTTATAAATAATATTTTTTTATGCATAAGTATTTTGCAAAGTAAGTATAATAAATAGTAATTAATATGTTACATTATTTGTACCTGTACACTCTAAAAAGTGTGTGTAAAACTACTACTGAAGAGTATCTATTTTTCAACAGGAATCTGTATAAATATACATACGTATAAGATGTTCAGGATTTGATTTTGAGCTTGAGATCTTTAAAATATACACATGAAATGTTTAAAGTTGCAAAAAGTTTTAAACTAAAAATACATTTCCTACAAATAATAAACAGTAGGGGCTTACATTTACTCTATTTTAAACATTTTATGTGTTATTTTGCTCTCTGCGACAAATTTGGTATGTTAATGTAAACAGGCAGTGTTTAATTTTATTACGCGGTGTGCCAATTTGCACACATTAAAAGAGGAAAATAGTTACCTCTCTTCGGTTTCCGGTTTTTCAGTGCCAGTTTAAACTTAGATTAAGTAAACTGAGTTTAAACTGAACAGCTGCCTGGCATTTGATTGGCTGATCTTAGTTTAAACCACGGTCGTGCACTGAAAAACTGGCCCTTAATATGCGCAAATAAACAAAAAAAAAATTAGAGTGTATTTAAAGTATTTTCAGTAATTGTAAGGGATAAACGGACAGTTTTACTTAGAGGCAGAAAAGTTAAAGAAGACGCCAAGTGGAATTGAGCGCCTTCCGAAGTTTCCAGGAAAAGATTATGTTGGTCCACGGTGGAAGTAAAAGCGTGCATTAGAGCAGGATGTAGAACTATATCGGAAGGGTCAGAAGAAAGATCTGGATATGTCAGGTGTGATGCGTAGACAACAGTTATTTTTAACGATTTGCTCATCGAGAGTTTGTTTGCTTTGCTTTTACACCAACATACAATTGTTACCAGATAGCAAATATAAAATTCCTCAAACACTGGGATCTTTCCCGTACAANGCTTTGCTTTTACACCAACATACAATTGTTACCAGATAGCAAATATAAAATTCCTCAAACACTGGGATCTTTCCCGTACAATCCAGGCTGGATCCGATAATTAGAGAGTAAGCAAACAATTTTCATTCTTCCATTGAGCACATTTCCATTCCATCCATGGGCACATCTCCACTCGCTTAAATTTTAAAATGTGGGGAGTCTATTGTACTGTACTATGTTGAACCAAAAAAAAAATGCTTGAAAATCTCGACACTTTTACCGAAAAATTGCTGGGCAAAATCGGTTGAGTTTCAATATCCTACTTATACAGTATGTAAATGTAAAACTTTGTAAGTGGGTGTGTGGGGAGTATGTTCGTTTCCCCTTTCCGCTAAAACGGCTATACGGATTTGGATAAAATATGGCACAAAGATAGCTTTGGGCTTGGAATAACAAATAGGATATTATTAGAAAAGAGTTGCCACCTGCTTAAGAAATTCAATGCAGTTTAAATTATAAGTTCAAAGAAATATTTACAATATCGTTGCCAAAGCATACACAACATTTAAAGGGGGTTGCCACCTATTTAAAAAGTTGAATTCATTTTCAATAAAAGGTTAAGTAAAATTTATTTTATGGTTGGCAAACGAAAAAGTTTAAATAGGCTTTATGTTGAAAATACTTTGAAAAGGGTTGCCACCGGTTTAAAAGTCAAATCGCATTTTTAATAAGTTTAAGAAAGTATTACAATATTTCTTTTAAAAAAATATAGCATATTCTTTAACAAAACTGTATATGTAAATCCGAGTTTCAATCTTTGTAAACTTTCGTAAAAATTTAAGGCTTTTTAATTCGATTTTTGAGAAATATTTTGGGTATGCAGTTTTATAGCCCATTCAATGTTAGTATAACAAAGCGCAAGTTTAAAGTAGCAGGGACTTACCGTTGATTTTTGCAATCTTTTTTTTTTTTGACGAAGTGACGAAGTCAGAACATTTTCTTCCATACGAAGTGAGTATGTTCGACGA